GTTGAGGATGATTGTGAGAGATCTATTTCTTTATCTCTCTCAGGACGTTAAGGATGATTGTGACAGATCTATTTCTTTACCTGTCTCAGAAAGTTAAGGATGATTGTGAGAGATCTATTTCTTTATCTCTCTCAGGAAGTTAAGGATGATTGTGAGAGATCTATCTCTCAGAAAGTTAAGGATGATTGTGACAGATCTATTTCTTTATCTCTCTCAGGAAGTTAAGGATGATTGTGAGAGATCTATTTCTTTATCTCTCTCAGAAAGTTAAGGATGATTGTGAGAGATCTATCTCTCAGAAAGTTAAGGATGATTGTGAGAGATCTATTTCTTTATCTCTCTCAGAAAGTTAAGGATGATTGTGACAGATCTATTTCTTTATCTCTCTCAGGACATTAAGGATGATTGTGACAGATCTATTTCTTTACCTGTCTCAGGAAGTTAAGGATGATTGTGACAGATCTATCTCTCAGAAAGTTAAGGATGATTGTGAGAGATCTATTTCTTTATCTCTCTGAGAATGTTAAGGATAATTGTGAGAGGTCTATTCCTTTATCTCTCTGAGAAAGTTAAGGATGATTGTGAGAGATCTATTTCTTTATCTCTCTCAGAAAGTTAAGGATGATTGTGACAGATCTATTTCTTTATCTCTCTCAGGACGTTAAGGATGATTGTGACAGATCTATTTCTTTACCTGTCTCAGGAAGTTAAGGATGATTGTGACAGATCTATCTCTCAGAAAGTTAAGGATGATTGTGAGAGATCTATTTCTTTATCTCTCTCAGAAAGTTAAGGATGATTGTGACAGATCTATCTCTCAGAAAGTTAAGGATGATTGTGAGAGATCTATTTCTTTATCTCTCTCAGAAAGTTAAGGATGATTGTGAGAGGTCTATTCCTTTATCTCTCTGAGAAAGTTAAGGATGATTTGAGAGATCTATTCCTTTATCTCTCTCAGAAAGTTAAGGATGATTTGAGAGATCTATTCCTTTATCTCTCTGAGAAAGTTAAGGATGATTGTGAGAGATCTATTCCTTTATCTCTCTTAGAAAGTTAAGGATGATTGTGACAGTTAGTCAACAAGGTCCCATAGATGCTTTTCATGTTGGAAGCCAGTATGGCATTAAAGCACCTGAAAGACCTGGATGTTATACAAAAATGGAGGACAAGATTTACAATCACTGTGGTAGCCACCTCTTCTCAAGTCTAAAACTCCAAATTTAACTCAAAATAAAAGATGGCCATTCCAACATGGAGACTTTTTAGATAAAGTTTGCAATATGTTGATAATGTCTAAAAACATGTACAAATTAAGGTATGAAGTAGCTAGTATTAAGCTGATGCCAGTGTGATGGCACCAAAAGTGGTTGACACTTTCTACAATCTTTTCTTTTTAGATATAGGGTATTAAGTTTATGTAGAAATATGAATGCACTCACTGCATTATTTATGGCCTAGTTTTCTGGTTTTAAGACGAAAAGTAAAATTTTCAAAATAACACTGGACTGTGCACATCTTTTTTCTGGAAACAACAAATATAAAGGGCCATTAAAGAGCAGCTCACAGTCTAGTCATCTGGTCATTACATTCATGCATCTCTGTTATTAGTATCAACTCTAATAAAAACACCAAACTGAAAGTTGTGGTCAATATTTTTTAATATAAAAGCAAAAAATTGATTTTTTCCAAATTTTTTTTGCAAAACTTTGGCACATTTTGTACTTTTATTATCAGATGACAAATATCTTTTTATGATTTATAATTGATCAGAAGAGCTAGGTCATCTAATTGAATCTGATTGATCAATTATGAAAATTTCATCTGATTCTTGTCACTAACAACATGTCATATCTTTAGCATTCTCGACACATTTGTATCATCAGAACATCTAACACTAATCATCTTCCTACGTCATCAGGCAAGGTTAAAGGGTCAAAGGTCATATTTGACAACTTTTGCAAATTCATTTAGCAAAGATGCTTCTATATATAGGAATGAAGGCATTCTTTTCTAGTTTGTTAATAATTTCCTGCTAACTGGTCTAATTGTGATCACAACAATTAATTGATGTTTTGGATGATAAAAATACAGTAATCAGTGTTACTATTATTACACACTCATTTTAGTAATTAACTGTTGTCTATTTCCATCAAAATAATTACATCTCATGAAAGTAGAACTATGACCTCTGATAATTAATTTTGTTGTTAAAAGAGAAAGAATTGAATCTCTATCATGTTAAGATAATGGAGACATTCCCCCAACATTTTAACGTAATTAGGGCCATGCACCATTTAGTTAGAGCATAGAGTACAGCATTAATTAAGTGTAATAAAACAGACTTGCACTCATTATTAATTACTTTATCTTCTCTATAGAATTTTCACAAAAAGGAACAGCTCTTCCAGTAGCTCTGTGGAGAATGTTTCATATTGCATGCTTAAGGAGAGTAAGCTTTAAGCTGTCTTGTCTGTTTCTGCTTTTCCTGTCTACTGTAATTTGTATAGAGCCCATACCGTTTGTTTTATGAGTTTGTTTTACACAAGCATTGCTACTTAAAACTAAAGCACTGACTTGACATTATTTTACTGTTTTAGTGCATAAAATTAAAGGCTACAGCTTACTCTTAGGGCTTAAAGGGAAAATTATCTTACCCAGATTTTGTAATTCAGATGGCTGATCTTGATATGTAGATCAGAATATGATCCTGTTACTAGAGTTTTGTTTTAATTGAAGAACATGTGTTGATGAAAACGAACAATCTCGTCTTTCCCAGAACTTCTCAATACTTTTTCAGTCTTAATAGTTAAGTTTGCTTTCAAGAGGGAATGACTGTAGTCAAAAGTCATTTTGCATTGTGACGAAATAAAAAAAACCCTTACCATCCTTAGGGAAACCTTGGGGACTGTCACCTACAAACATCTGTATTGCAATGATAAAGCTGCTCTCATCGGGATTTGATTACAACCAGTAAGATGGAGATTGAAGAATTTGGGGTCTAAGTCATCGCTAATTGGGCCACTTAAAAATTGCATTGCAGCTTGCAGTTATAAACAGAAACTTGCCAGATAAGTTTAACTAAAACTGAAACCTAGATGAGTAAAGAACATAGAATTGATCAAGAGACACATAATGAAAAAGGCCATAGTGTTGGGTATTACTGTTACGTATGTTTGCATTCTCATCACATTTCAACTTCCTAGTTCAGCTGATTTATTGGAAATATCTAACTTGTATAATGTAAATAATCTTTTGTATCTTGTTGCGTCCAAGTTCATGGTCACTTTGAATGAAACACTATCAATCATGTCTTCTCTCATGCAAGAGATTTGCAAGCATTTCCTTTGTTTTTATAATGGTTGTGTACTTCATCAGTGAAATGAAACCAGACAAGTCCATCCATTCATACAAAACCAGTTTTTTTCCCCCTATGTAATTTGTCTGTTGTTTTTTACAAAATCAGTGATTTGAAATATTCAGGTCCATCACTGTCACTAACATGTATCTAGATTTGGTCAATTTTTCAACATTTCACTCAGTGAAGACTAAAAATTGGAATTTTGAACAGAATGACAAATATATTTTTAGATTTTCCTATTTTGATTGTGAGGATAAGCGTAAACATCTAATCTATATCGTTTGTGTGGTAAGTGATTGGCACAATCAAGTACATGTAAGGTAGGAAATTTTTCAATTAGCTCTTATTTGGTTTTCTCTGTTTTAAAGTCAAAGCAAGATTTGTTTTGTGATAAATGTTCAAACATCACAATGATACAGAAGGTAATTGGTTGTAATGTGTTCATAACAATCTTATGGTACTGATTTCACTGTGATTTGTCCGTTCTTCATTTACTTCAGAACATTGCATAAAAAGAAAATTGGTGAAAATTGATTTAGACATCGCATGACGAGATGTAATCTGGAGTAAAATACCACAGACCTTATAGATTAGGACACAGTGATTAGAAATATTGGTATCTTGATATTGGTGACCAAACTAAGGTGTTAATTAACTCACACAGGTAGATGTCTACCTGATAAGGTATTTAGTTTGAAGTTTAGATTTGTTGATTGGAGTTTCGGGTGATCATTTTGTGTTTTGATATACCTTTAATGTCCTTAAATAAGGTGGCCAGGTGTTTTCTTTGATCTCTACCATTTAGAATGCTGCTTGCAAAATATCCCTAAACACATGCTATATCATAATTACATAAAACATTGTTTGGTTTAAACACAATGTAATATCAGTATTACGTCAGCTCTGAAGATCTATGGGTAAGTCTGGCGCCCGGCGAAACATTATACGCACAAATTAGAAATGGGTTGATATTCCGTTGTGTACAGTTACAAATGCTATAGAGGACTGCCAATACTATCGCTGTGATGATGCTGGCAAGTTTTGATCAATTACAGGTATTCTGAACAGGTAGACCAAGCTAATGAATTTTTCCAGGCAGGTGTCTGTCTGTTTAGAGACTCAGTGGCAAGAGTGTGAGTATTACACTGGGGATTTATGAGTATAGACAAGTGCTAAGTATGAAGTAGTTGTTGTCATGTTACCTGTTCTCTGCAGTCATTGGCTCACCTGTCAGGTGTTGGTGCCAGGTAGAACAGCAATCAACTACTAAAACAAAATATATTGGTTCCAATAAACACTAATCAGCTATAGCATCACTGGTATGTAGGTATGGATCTGTAAATTGAATTTACTGAGAACCACATACTAAGCTATTGAAAGTTGTATTGATATGATACTGGTTACTGGCATTGATTGGATTTCCAAGGAACAAAGCCTGATTTCCCTGCTTTGCTACATGTACTGTTTACTGCAGAAAACCTGTCATGCTGATGTGTTATTTAGCTGTATAATGGATGGTTCAAAACCATTACACAGACAGAGAAATTTTGATGGTTGAAGTTTTGTCTGGTTGTGAACTAAATTGGAAAATTTCTTCCTTGTAGATGAGGGTAGTACTCACTGTGTCGAGTGTTAGGATGAGATGAGTAAACAGGCTGAAGAGGACTACAGAGCCTTGGAGCTGTACCTTATACAGGCTGAGGTAAGTGTACTAGTCAATGTGACCCCTTCTAATCCAAAATCACTTCTGACTTAGAGTCAGGGGGTGGGCTTATTACAAGACAAGAAAAGACTCTTCAAGCTGTACCTTATAAAGGCTGAGGTAAATGTGCTAGTCAATGTGACCCCCTTTTAATCCAAAATCACCACTGACTTAAAGTCCGGGGTTGGGCTTATTACATGACAAGAAAAGACGGTCTTTAAGCTGTACCTTATACAGGCTGAGGTAAGTGTACTAGTCAATGTGACCCCCTTCTAATCCAAAATCACCATTGACTTAGAGTCAGGGGTGGGCTTATTACAAGAAAAGAAAATACTGTCTTCCAGCTGTATTTTATACAGGCTGAGGTAAGTGTAATCATGACCCCTTTTAATCCAAAATCACCACTGACTTAGAGTCAGGGGGTGGGCTTATTACATGGCAAGAAAATACGGTCTCCAAACCATATGCAGGCTGAAGAAAGAATTACTTACTGCCTTAGTCTTATATCTAAATGAATATTGAAAAAATATTGGTTAGATTTAATTCAAATTGTGAAAAATTTTGAGTTGAACCCGAAAGCACTGAGCCATACAATGCCTGTCCACCCATTCCATGATTAAAGAATGTCTTGTCCTGCAGCCCTGGTCAGATTACAGACCACAATGTTACTTGTTGTATGTTCTAACACTGCTATATTGTGATTGTGGACTGGAGAGTTCACATAGAACACATCATTACTATCACCTGACTGAGTCCCTGTCAAATTCAAGGTCAGAGAGCATTATCCTATACAGATATATTACACAGACAAACTTATTACAAGTAACATTGTACATTTGTCAAGTTTCTTTACCATAATGATAAAACAGACAGCCTTTGTTGTAGAATTCCAAACATAATTTATGGTATGTGTGAAGACTTACCATATATTCAGGTAAAAAAATGATATCTGAAAGTTAAAAAGGTCATTATGTTTGTCCATTTGTAAGGTGATCATGTTTATTTTGTTTCAGGAGGAAATAGGTTTGACTCTCTCTGGTACATTCAGCCCACAGGACTTCAGTTTACAGTCACCTGAGGATCCCCATGGAAACAACAACAATGATGTGTGTAACAGTGACCTTACAGGATCCTCTAGTTCGCATGACAGCCACCTTGACATTGAGTCAAACAGTACATCCATCAGCTATCCGAACAAAGGGGAGATAACTGATGTCAATAAGCTTGATTTACCTGGGCAAACTGTAGATTCTGGATATTCAAGCCAGCATAGCAATGATCTTGAAAATGACCTCAACATCACTAATACTACTTCTCCTATCGGTTATCAGTATCAAGGGGAGATAACCTTAGACAGTAAACATGACCTGACAGAGTTGGCAGTGGACTCAAGTCCACTCAGTGGTCTGGCTGAACAGGCGCGTTCTGTTGATAAACATAGAAACAAAACACGAGCTGGCGATTATCACACAAACAAGACGTCGCTGGATGGTTATCACTACATACCTGAGATAAGCGATGTAGACAACTACTGTTTCGGTGACAAAGACCTGGTGTGCAGCAGCGTGGAGTTTGGTGATAACCAAGATTTTGGAACGCCAAGTAGGCGTGGCGGGTCCTTACATGATAACAACTGGAATCTCAAGGTTGGTAGCACTATTATCATAATACAGCATTAATTCAGGGTAGACAAGGTAATATAGGTTCTTATTATTGTCATTTGGCTCAAAATTTTATATGACAATGTAAGTCACGATGAATAGTGAGAGGAGTAATCTAGAGGTATGTACCTGAATTATTTCTGTAGAAAGATTTGATGTAAATGAAAATTGATGGCATTGTCATTTTTAAATTTCCATAATAATTTTATGTTTGCTTTTGCTGAAAACCTTTTGAAAATGTAAGATTATTCTTATCATTTTGATATCTATATACAGAGATGTAACTGATTTTTTCCTTGAAAAGGAATGTCATATTCAAGTGGAAGATTATTTGGGATTATATTATAATCTGTTTAGATAATTTGTTGTGATAAAAGGATTTGTAGACAGGGTTTACATACAGCTTTCATATCTACACTTAAACCAAAAGATGGGTCCAGCTTGGACTTGTTAATCAAAAAGGATTTGATGATTCTTGGGTATTAGAAATTTGACTCCTCGGAAACCTGTTCAGACTTTGTTCACCTGCTGGGTAATCTTGCTGATAGGAAACCCCTTGACAGTTTCAACACATCAAGACATTTTGTGACTTTTATCATGACACATATATCATTGTGGAAGTTGTTTCAGATCTGTAAGTTACATTACTATGGTTTCTTAGAATTTGATTAAAATAAGAGGTCTTCACCAGGTATCTTCATTAAAAATCTTACTGTGATTTGTCAAAATCATTGCTTATCGGTGCTGTCATCGAGCCTGAAACTTTAACAATATGGCAGTTCTGTTTGAAAAGTTTTCAATGAATGATACATTGCACTCAAATAACAAAAATTTGAAGATAAAGTTGATTAAATTTATAGGTAATGAAGGTTTACAAAACATCTTCACCATATTTGAATATTATAGAACAAGATGTATATAGAAGTGAAGCTTTCCAGACCTAGAAATTTGTGAAAAAAATAAGTGTATTATTGTGAAAACTGTTGTGTTTGGAGATTCTGTTTAAGCACAGGGGAGAGGTACCACTTATATGACTGTAAAATCTTTTGTCAAAGTATAGACAATTCTGATGTTGTTCATTGTTAATTTGGAGACTGATAAATAATCCTAAGAAGTTATCAATGGTTTGAATATGAAAATAATTGACTTCATTCACACAACTTTTGTGTATTTTTTCTTTATCATTTTAATCTCCTTGTGTATTTTTTTTTTTACAAATATTGTAATATGATGGCTGTCTGATATTCTGCTTTAAATGAAATTATTTCCTTCTTTAGATAAATCGCAAATGCTATTCCTGCTTTGAACAACAGTATAAGAAAAGCTATTATTAAAGTGTTGTCTTACTGAAGTGATCATCTAAGCATAATGTGGTAGCAGAAGTGAAAGAGTATTGCATGAAAAAGATAAGGCTTATATGTTATGCCATTCCATTACTAGAAGGAATAGATGAGATAACAATTGCTGCACCCATAGCTCAACAATTTGTGTGGAAATGTTTTAACGCTGTAAAATTACATTTCAAATCGATCGAGAATGTTGAACGTTTGCTCAACATATATGACCAGTTTCTTGCTTATTTGAAGTAATTGAGAACAAATTTTGTTTACCATCATTGATGAAACTAATTTCCTCTCCTAGATAATTGAATGTTCTAATTTGTTTGTTGTCCTTGAAGTTTTTAAAAGTTCGAAGATAGGGTAGACAAGTCCATTCTGTCTTTAGTCAGATATTATACAATTGCTATGAATGAAACTAGTTTTAATACCTCTGACACATTCATGATGCGGTTCCAGGGTCATGATGTTTGTCATTGCCTGTTATAAAACCTGTTCAGCTTTGACTTAATTTCACATCAACATGGGAGTTTTTTATTGTGTTTTCCATATATGGAATTTTCCAAATTTACTTTTCAGTTTGGGAGTTGGACAAGAAATATATGTCTGTAGACTATAAAGAATCAAATAGCTCAGTAAGGTTACAATTACTGATGAATAACTTAAATGTATATATCAGCCAGGTAATATACCAGTAGAGGTCAATGGAAAGATGGCTACAAACAATTGAATCTACCTCATGCCAAGATTTAAAGACTTTTACAGAATAAACTCTACTTCATAGTTTTGTGTTACTACATTTGAAAATGTTCTTAAAATTCTTTGGTATAATAAGTTCTGATAGCATTTTTTAAGTTTATATGCCTGTAACCTTATCAAACAAAAAAAAATGTTTTAGAAAATTTATTTAAAGCTACAAAGAAAATCTTGTTTATTGTGATAATTATATCTATTAATGGTACCATATTTACAAACCTCTTTTTACGCTGTTGTCATTTTCATCATTGATTGCCAAATAGGTTGTACTGAACTCAGTGATATACCTCCGCAAATTTAGAGGTTTATGCAAGGTGATACCCGAAATTGCAAATAGTAGGGATTTTTAGTTTTGCAGTACTCAGTTTTGTTTGTAAGATTGTGAAAAAGAATTGTATTTTTGAGTTTATGCGTCATTAAGCTGGCAAATTGGCTTGAAGAGGGTATCTACACTGGATGACAGAAGAATTCCTGTTGTTTAGGATTTATCACTAATACCTGTAGGTTTACCAGGTAAGGAAACAATAAGTTTGGTGGTATTCAGGAAATATTTCAGAGTTAGAGACAATAAGTCTATTTCCTGTTGAAAAAGAAATTCTTCCGCTCAACTTCAATGATTGATTCTGGTTTAGACAAAACGTGTTTGTGTTTATTGAAGTCCTATACTGTTTCACCTTTCAAGGATATTTACAGAAAATAAATAAAACCAGGTAATGTAATACTGGTGTCAAAAGAGAAATTTGACAAAAACTTTATGATTAAGCTATTGTTCTTCTGTGACTTTTTAAAACTTCGATTTTAATTCTGTGCTCTACATTTCACATAATACTGAGTATATAGTATTTGTAAAATAATTAGAGGCAAGGGAATATTAAAGAAATCTTAATGTAAAGGTAAAGGGGTGGGGGGTTAGCATATCCAAATATCCTTGATTCAATATTTCTTTAGATATGTATGAATCCTTTCTACAGATCAAAAATCATTTACAGAAGTACATTGCATGTGAAATGAAATTATTTCCATGTTCCCATCACTGCTTCTGATCAGTTATAAGACTCTTAGCGGCCTGCTCTGTAAGTCTGGAAACTGAAACTCATTCCAACTTGAGGTATATAAACTACATGTAAAACAAAAATGTCTCGACACATGTCATGATCTTTAATGAAAGGATAAAAAAAACACATGCTTGCGACATCACACCAGAAAAAATTAATGACAAATCACAAACGATGTTTAAGATATTGAATGTGTATGATGTAAGATATATGTGTATTGATGTATTAGTAATGAATCTGTCCATGTGCAGTAGACAAAATTGATTTGTTTTTGGAACAGTTTCAATAAAGGATAAAATTCTACAAATTTTCTGGGAATTAATGTAAAAATGCAGAAGACAAGCAAGGGATTTAACGTTAACTGTATATTGACTGGGTATATCTTACTTAGAATCCAAACTGAGAATACTGTTCGTGTTTAATGGATAAATGAAGATTTTTGAAAATGTGGTGGACTAAATTGTTGGAAACTAATCCAATAGCTGATTAATGAAAGTGTACAGAAAATATCTTTCTGGTTTATTTTGGTTTTACATTGACAAAGTAAAGTGTATTTCATAGTGTTGTTAATTAGCAGTCTGAACAAGAGCATACAGGTGAAAACACACTTTGGCTGTATTAACATACACAATTGTATATGTATCAGGATGAATTATTCATGAGGAGCTCATAGTTGTGACTTCATTAAGAAGAAGCAAGCCAGCAGGTGCTCCACTAGATTTTACTCCGATACCAAAGTATAGTAAATGTTTTAATGCTGAAATAAGGTAACCATGCAAGTTCTGGTATAGCAAATGTTATTCTTAAAATGTGTGGCAAGTTTTCTAGCTCTGATATACCGTTAAATCATTTATTTTTGTGGGACTCAAATTTCGTGGTTTTCCAAAGATGTGCATATAATGGACAGAAATCACCAATACTAAATCCATTTCAGCTCTTTTTTTATCATTTCATGGACATATAAATGTATGGATTTAGAATACGCATGAATTTAATGAAAATGAATCCCCCGCAAGAAATCATTGAAAATAGTTCAATATATGACTTCCAACTTTGATGTAGAATGGTATATATTTTAAGTTCTGATATAGTACGGTAAATGTACTAGCGCTGATATAGTGTGGTAAATGTTTTAGTTCTGATGTAGTTGGTAATTGTTCTAGCCCTGATGTAGTGTGGTAAATGTTCCAACTGTGATGTAGTGTGGTAAATGTTCCAACTATGATGTAGCGTGGTAAATGTTCCAGCTATGATGTAGTGTGGTAAATGTTCCAACTATGATGTAGTGTGGTAAATGTTTTAGTTCTGATGTAGTTGGTAATTGTTCTAGCGCTGATGTAGTGTGGTAAATGTTCCAACTGTGATGTAGTGTGGTAAATGTTCCAGCTATGATGTAGTGTGGTAAATGTTCCAGCTATGATGTAGTGTGGTAAATGTTCCAACTATGATGTAGTGTGGTAAATGTTCCAACTGGGATGTAGTTTGGTAAATGTTCTAGCGCTGATGTAGTGTGGTAAATGTTCCAACTGTGATGTAGTGTGGTAAATGTTCCAACTATGATGTAGTGTGGTAAATATTCCAACTATGATGTGGTGTGGTAAATGTTCCAACTATGGTGTAGTGTGGTAAATGTTCCAACTGTGTGGTAGTTTGATGAATGTTTTGGGATTTGTTCAGTAATGTGATGAACAAAACAAAGCCTAACCATTGAGACAGTGGACATTTGAAGAATTCTACATATTATTATAGCTTTGTAAGCTGCTCTCTGATGCAGTGATTATATGATGCAAAATGTTTGTCAAATACAAAAACGATATTTATTTGTGCCCTTGTTCAG